TTACAGTAGGAAAACCTATTAATGCTAAATATTATATCAAATTTAATTAAATAGATAGCTCAATTTCAAATGTTGAAATATATTTTATAGGCCTGATGAATATTCAACAGATTTCTATTCCATACTTTAAGTTTTTGTAATTTCCCTTCAGTTTTCAAACTGAAGTAATTTAGTGATTCAAATGTATGTTTTGAGGAATGTCAGAGTTTTCTCATACAAAAAGAATACAAATCATTAGAACAAATTGATATAAAGTTTTGCAGATTTTATAATATATATTCTAGGCAAATAATATTCTATATGATTAAATACCAATTGGATAGATGATAGGTTTATTTCAACTCATTTATTTATGCGACTATCAATATATTGATAATCTGTACATGACAAACTCTTAATAATTAGAATGATGCCTCTTGAAATAGAACATTGTAATTAAGTAAGATAAATTTTTAAATCTATCTTTATAAACCACTCTGTGAAAACATTAGCTGGGTCTTTGTGACATAACATTTTGCACAAATGGCTGTATGAATAGCATGCATATTATGCCAAAATATATTTATATTCAGAAAATAGAGAGGACTTTATTATAGGAATTACGTTATTTCAAGGACTATTTTTGTTAATATGTTTCTTTTGGCCCTGGAAGCCGCTTGAATTAATGCTTGTTTGCTATTGCCAGGTGTCTTCCCATTAATTGCAAGAATCTTAATTTCAAAAAGATAAAAAAGAATAAAAGAGACTGTAAAAAAAACAATAATTGCCTCACATGTGAAAAAAAAAACTTCTATGAATATCAAATATAATATGAATACATATTCTTTACCTGTTTTGCCCGTGTTATAGATTAAGGTGTCCTCTGAAGTTTCTTCTTCCCAACCTTTGAACTTCAGTTGCTTGAGGTTCACATTTACTTGAGTGAGATCTTCATCAATATTTATAGGTGACTGCTTGGCACCATTGCATGCTGGATATTTTTTCCCCCACTTTGTTTGATTTAAGGCTCCTAAAAACCAAAATGAATCAGGGAAGTAATTTATCTAAACATATTTGATAGATTTTCATATGTTTATGAAAGCCACAAATTATGTTCTAAAAGATATTCTGTTAATCTCTGAAACAACCCCTCTAATTCACATGCTTTTACAACAATATATGACAATCAGAGGTGATATTCAACCGGAACGGACTGGTTTGGGTGAACCG